AGGTGATGATGAGGAGGAGGAAGCTCTCGATGATGATGATGTTGTCGATCATGATAATGATGAACGAACGGATGGATAGATGAATGAATGACTAATTGAAATGAATGAATAGATGAATGAATGATTGAAATGAGCGAATGAACCAATAAATGAATGAACGAACGAACGAACAAATGAATGAGCAAATGAACGAACAAATGAATTAACAGATAAACAAACGAACAAATGAATGAACAGATGAACGAACAAACAAATGGATAGACGGACGGATGGATGAACGACTTTTGTTTTTATTTCACAACAAATATTATCTCGAACGGCTCGGTAGAAATTCCGCCATAAACTTTTATGTCTATTTATTATTATTGTTGTTGTTATTTACTCTTTATTATTGTTATTAATGACGTCATTATTATTATTATTAGTATTATTATTATTGCTAGTATAATTCTATCGCTTACGGATTATTAATTGTGTTGATTATCTATATATCAATTATTATTACTATCATTACAATTAATGACCTTATTATTCATATTATTATTATTATCATATTATTATTTTTATTGTCATTATTATTATTATATTATATTATTATTATTATTATATCATTATTATTAATCATATTATAATTATTATTATTATTATATCTTTGTATACACCGCGTACGGTAAATAATCTTCACGTGAGCAAAAAAAATAAAAAATCCGAAATAAAATAATTTCATCGAAACAAACTTAATAGAGAAACTGAAAAACAAATTTAATAATAATAATAATTAATAATGATAATGATTATAATTAATAATAATTATTATCATTATTAACATTATTATTATGGAAGAAAAATTCATAAAAACTGTTTACGTACAAATTACTTTTCTTAAATCCTAAAACACAGATTGCTGTATATAATACTAGTTATGTATAATACTGTACACATAATTACGTCATAATTACACACAATTACGTCTTAATTACGTCATAATAACGTCATAATTACGTCACATTCTTTCTTCGTCATATTCTTTTTTATAATTAATTGAGTTGTATTTTTATTTATCAATTTATTCGCTAATTTGCTATTCATTCATCAATATAAATCATCTTCAGTTACCTCACGATTACGTCATAATAATAATAATAACAATAATAATTATGATTAACTATTGACACTTTTAGGAATACTGTGAAGGCATTATTTTCAATGTGACTTTCATTTCGTCCTCAGTTATTTTTAATTGGCTCTTTATATAAATTCATCATGATAATAAAATCATACAAATGATAATAAAAATAACATAAATAATAAAGATGACAAAATTATAATTAACATGACGTCATCATCATCTTAATCGACATCGTGACGTCATTTTAATCGACCTGATGACGTCATCTTAATCGAAACTTGATGACGTCATCATCCTTGCTGTTGTCGTCTCATAATTTCATCATGACAACTTTTGAAAACAATATCGCCGGCCGTCATTCACGAAACACAAAAAAAAACACAAAAACTTCGAAAGAGAAGATATGGTAAAAGGCGGAAATACAAAACAGTTTACATGTGTAAATATATATATATACATATATATATATATATATACATATATATATATATACATATATATATATATATATATGTTGGTAATAGACCATAATTTTTACAATATTCTATAAATTCTACCGAATGTTTGGCGTTAATATGTTTGTAGTTCGTTTTTTCGATTTTTCTCACTAAAGTTTTTTGGTGAACGTTTAATTTATTAAAATTCAAAATAAACTTATTTTTCGAATTCATGCTGCAAATAAGGCCATATTTCGATTCCGAATGAATCATCATCAGTGCTCCTTGCTGTATATCAACAGCATACAAGGTAGATGAAGCTATTCTTAAACATATTATCAATAAAAAAGTCACACCAACCAACCCAAATAGTAAAGTTAAACTCCGAATTTATTACAACAATAAAAAGACGTCTCACCTAATACTGAAAAACAACTGCAGTCCTAGAGATAACTCTGAGTTAAAGCGTAATCACGTAATATATGAATTTAATTGCCCCTTTGACGGCTGTGCACGTCAACATGACTCATATATCGGGATTACTACTACCTCACTGACTAGAAGGCTTACGATGCATAAACAGAGTGGTGCTATCAAATCTCATTTGGACTCAACACACTCAATCACAATTAGCCGTGAAATCCTCGACAGCAACAAAAAACAACAACAACACACGTTTAGACGGCATTTCCCCCGAGATCGGGGGTTGCCGTTTGGCTACCTATGATGAAACCGAAATACCCCTCGACGCCATCCAAATCTGTCACTCGCATCAGTATCACGCAACCCCTTTCACCCTGTCCTTCTCCACCTGCTCTCTCCATCCCAATCGCGGACGACCCCTTCCTACCACTCCTTCAACCTCGAACTCCAACGCTCGCCTAATCCCGACCCTTTCATCCCTTCTCAACACATGTCCATACCACCGCAATCTCGATCTCCTTATCAATGTCACAATGTCCTCATTCAGTCCCATCATCGACATCAGCTCTGTACTACTCCTCCTATCCTTCACTTTAACCCCACACATCATCCTCACCATAGCTCTTTCAGCCCTCTGCAGTACACTTTCCTCCTCTCTCCTCAACACCCAAGTTTCACCACCATATACCATCGCTGCTCTCACACATGCTTTATATACCCTCCCTTTCATCTTCACTGACCATTTCTTTCCACACAATACCCCACCCAGTTCCCTAAATTTCATCCATCCCACACGAACTCTAGCCGTAACTGCGCTCTAACATCCTCCATCCGCATCCTCGACAGCAACACCAAAGTAATATACCAAAACAACAACTACAGGCATCTTAAAATTGCAGAAGCAGTCCTAATTGACATCAATAAACCAAAAATAAATATACAACAAAAAATGACAACCTCACTTCCAACCCGGCGCTTAACCAACAACGAAAACAAAGAAGTAATAAAAACTAGCATCGTAAATAGTGACAAAGAAGAATATGATGCTATCGATGAAGAAAAGGAGACCAAAGAAGATGACCAGCCAATTAAGAAACCTGACACCTAATTCGCATCAAAGTTCAATTTTACAACACCAAAGTTAATTTTCATTTGCAGCATGAATTCGAAAAATAAGTTTATTTTGAATTTTAATAAACTAAACGTTCACCAAAAAACTTTAGTGAGAAAAATCGAAAAAACGAACTACAAACATATAACGCCAAACATTCGGTAGAATTTATAGAATATTGTAAATATATATATATATACACAATATTCTATAAATTCTAAAATAATTATAGAATATTGTAAAAATTATGGTCTATTACCAACATATATATATATACATACACACATAAACCACACAAACCACACACACACGCACGCACAAGAAGTACATACAAATATAAAATGTTTAAATATAATACAGTTGTGT